GAATATATAGGAAAATTCTTTAAAAATCTTCTTCTCAAGAACCATTGGGCCAGGAAAGATGAGACTCATGTGGAATTATCCTCAGGTAGTGTAGATTCAAGTTTGTTCAAATCATGACCCCGGGGTAGGGCGGGGCCAAAATGGCCGGTCAAAGTTTTACATAGGAATATATAGGAAAAATCTTTAAAAATCTTCTTCTCAAGAACCACTGGGCCAAGAAAGATGAAACTCATGTGGAATCATCCTCAGGTAGTGTAGATTCAAATTTGTTCAAATCATGATCCCCGGGGGTAGGGTGGGGCCAAAATGGTCGATCAAAGTTTAACATAGGAATATGTAGGAAAAATCTTTAAAAATCTTCTTCTCAAGAACCAGTAGGCCAGGAAAGATGAAACTCATGTGGATCTATTCTCAGGTAGTGTAGATTCAAATTTGTTCAAATCATGACCCCCGGGGGTAGGGTGGGGCCAAAATGGCCGATAAAAGTTTTACATAGGAATATATAGGAAAAATCTTTAAAAATCTTCTTCTCAAGAACCAGTGGGCCAGGAAAGATGAAACTCATGTGCAATCATCCTCAGGTAGTGTAGATTCAAGTTTGTTCAAATCATGATCCCCGGGGGTAGGGTGGGGCCAAAATGGTCGATCAAAGTGTAACATAGGAATATATAGGAAAAATCTTTAAAAATCTTCTTCTCAAGAACCAGTGGGCCAGGAAAGATGAGACTCATGTGGAATTATCCTCAGGTAGTGTAGATTCAAGTTTGTTCAAATCATGACCCCCGGGGGTAGGATGGGACCAAAATGACCGATTGAATTTTTACATAGGAATATATAGGAAAATTCTTTAAAAATCTTCTTCTCAAGAACCATTGGGCCAGGAAAGATGAAACTCATGTGGAATTATCCTCAGGTAGTGTAGATTCAAGTTTGTTCAAATCATGACCCCGGGGTAGGGCGGGGCCAAAATGGCCGGTCAAAGTTTTACATAGGAATATATAGGAAAAATCTTTAAAAATCTTCTTCTCAAGAACCACTGGGCCAAGAAAGATGAAACTCATGTGGAATCATCCTCAGGTAGTGTAGATTCAAATTTGTTCAAATCATGATCCCCGGGGGTAGGATGGGACCAAAATGACCGATTGAATTTTTACATAGGAATATATAGGAAAATTCTTTAAAAATCTTCTTCTCAAGAACCATTGGGCCAGGAAAGATGAGACTCATGTGGAATTATCCTCAGGTAGTGTAGATTCAAGTTTGTTCAAATCATGACCCCGGGGTAGGGCGGGGCCAAAATGGCCGGTCAAAGTTTTACATAGGAATATATAGGAAAAATCTTTAAAAATCTTCTTCTCAAGAACCACTGGGCCAAGAAAGATGAAACTCATGTGGAATCATCCTCAGGTAGTGTAGATTCAAATTTGTTCAAATCATGATCCCCGGGGGTAGGGTGGGGCCAAAATGGTCGATCAAAGTTTAACATAGGAATATGTAGGGAAAATCTTTAAAAATCTTCTTCTCAAGAACCAGTGGGCCAGGAAAGATGAGACTCATGTGGAATTATCCTCAGGTAGTGTAGATTCAATTTTATTCAAAGCATGACCCCCTGTGGTAGGGTGGGGACAAAATGGCAGATCAAAGTTTTACATAGAAATATATAGGAAAAATATTCTTCTCAAGAACGAGTGGACCAGGAAAGATGAAACTCATGTGGAATCATCCTCAGGTAGTGTAGATTCAAGTTTGTTCAAATCATGATCCCCGGGGGTAGGGTGGGGCCAAAATGGCCGGTCAAAGTTTCACATAGGAATATATAGGAAAAATCTTTAAAAATCTTCTTCTCAAGAACCAGTGGGCCAGGAAAGATGAGACTCATGTGGAATCATCCTCAGGTAGTGTAGATTCACGTTTGTTCAAATCATGACCCCCGGGGGTAGGGTGGGGCCAAATGGCCGATAAAAGTTTACATAGGAATATCTAGGGAAGCCTTTTAAAATCTTCTTTTCAAGTTTTTTAAAGCCATGCTTAGTGATATTTACAGGGAATCATACTCAGGTAGTGTAGATTCAAGTTTGTTCAAATCATGACCCCGTGGGGGGGGGGTTAAAATTCAAGCCCCCTCCCCGCCCCTCAGTAAACTTTCAGTTCTGATCTGATCTGTGCTTTTTCCTAGCCAATTTCTCAGGTGAGCGATGTGGCCCCTGGGCCTCTTGTTTCATATTTGTTCTCATAGTTCAGCTTCCCGATATCCCACACAAGTAAGATTTTGATGAATATCTAAACGCCGAGTAGAAATCACAGTATTGATCAATGACATATTATACACAACTGGCATAATGCAAAACTTACTGTAAGTTCCCATGATTTAAAGACAGCACGTAATCATTTTGAAAATAAATGAATAGGGATATATTCTAGAATCAGTCGGAATCAACAGTTTAAATGAATGTCAATCAAGATGTAATATTATACCATCGTTTCAAAAGCAATATAATTTACAAATAAAATTGCATAATACTTCTAAATATTTGTATCCTCACTAGGCCACTTGAAAAAACAGAGGGGTTTCCAATAAGAGGGATGTTTGACCTTCCACGCGTCCATAAAACTCTTGGTATCCCCATCTTTTATTCACAGCTCATCCTCTACCATCTCATATATCTGAAACTTCCCCTATACGAATAAATAAAATTTTATAAGACTTTTACAAAATCTTTCTTACATAGTACTTATGTGCATCTTCTATTTCATTATCTGATCGGACAGACATTTGGGGTCTCCCATAACAAAACATATACTTTGTCATCATTACACTTACATTGAAGCGATAGTTTTCATTTTGTGAGCTCGCAGAACCTCTTATTTTTAAATATATCTGTAGTAAACAATATAAAAAGAGCAACATATTCAATGTATGTTCATCATGTTTAATGATGAAATATGACGATAACTAAAAGTTATCAAGGTCAAAAGTCCTTTGGAATATAACAAATTGGAAGCAGGGCACATACGGATCTCAAAACATCAGAGGTGGGATCGGGTACCATTAAGGAGAAAGCACCCCTTGTCAACTGGTCACATCCGTGTTAGATCAGGCAAACAAAAAAGTTGTTGGGAATGCATAATGAAAATAATGAATGGCACAACAATTTGTTTGACAAATATTAGTCAACATTCCATCTATGGATAAATTGTATTTGCTAACAAAGGCATTGCATTGTATTTTTTTAAAGACATTTAAAAGTATATACGTGTATATTTCCATTTCTAATTTTTTTTCTCTGTGATAACTCTTTGAAAGTTAGGGGTAGTTTATTTCTTGATAATTCTGCCGGAATGTAAATTAGGCAGGTCGATAGGTCGGGAGCTAAGGAGGCCTAATACGCATGCAATTTTCGTGCGCATCTGTCTCTGTGTCTGACGCTAAGGAGGCCAAACATGCATGTAAATCTCGCGCGGCTGCCTTTGTGTTTGACGTCGGTTGGCGAGGACTATTGAAATTGGCATGGAAGTCATCATGTGATTTAAATCAATTAATCTACAATTTCAAAGCCTAAATCTACAATTTTATTTCACAATGAAATGGAAATATAAGGAATCACTGTCTAGTTAGTATTATTGTATGCCAGGGACATCAACAATTGTGGGAAACATGGGATAATTTAAGCATAACGGGCTTCGCCCGTTATGCAAATTATCCCATGTTTCCCACTATTGTGATGCCCTGACATACCCTCCTAACTAGACAGTGATTCCTTAAATATCAAGATTGTTTGAATTTCTTAAATTGCAAAATTGTAATTGTAACAATTGTATCGACCATAGCATTTGCAAAATATTGAATTTTATCCTCCAGTGTATTTAAAATTTGAATTTGAGTAGGAATATATATATTATTATTATAAACTAATACCTTGTACATTCAAATTACTTCAGTTAATGGGTTCACATTAATATTACACATTGTATAACATTGTACATGTTTGCTGATGGGCTTTGTTGCCAAAGGTTGGATTTATTGAATAGATTATCAATGTTATAATAAATACGATCACTGTGACTTGTATCTCGACGCGGTGGTAGAATCAATCCCAACCTATGATTTTTCAACTAGTAGATGAAATTAAAATATGGACGAATTTGAAAAGTATCAGTGACATTTCATAATGGCAACGCACTAAACATCTTGGAAATATTACTTGCTTAAGAAACATGTTTGAGAGTGTACATGTGTTTACCGATATTACATTATAAATATTAACTCATGTATTTGTTACCTTCATTTTTTGTATAGAGAGGGCATTATAAGCAGTTTGCCTTCATTATTCTGAATAAATATTATTTGAATCATACGTTAAATTAAAAAAGTCCTTGAAGAGACTGTATTTTACCATTTCGAATGTGGGATTGCTAATAACATATAACGTTTACATTTTCTTCCTTTTCAATTTACATCTTTCATCTTAAAAATAATTTAGAATTATGTATCTCAATGGATTTAAATTTGAACCGTAACAAGTGTCAAATTTATACATTTGAATGAGGTGTATTTCTGCATCAAGTTTAATCTGATACATCAGTCTATTGATAAATTATATGCAATTTTAAAATTTAAGAATGAAATGTACAACAAGTGACTATTTGCTTAGATTCGCTTCTGTTCATTTATGTCCGAGAATTTGAAAAAGGCTGTGATCTATACCTTTTATGTGATTATTGATGTCTATTGAGTGGAAATTCATGTAGCTTTTTTCCTATTTGAACCCATAAATGTGTGAAGGTTGATTCACATAAATTACTCTAATTTCAATAATTTTTCTTCTAAAATATTATCACAGCATTTGCAGTTAAGCAAGTAAGAAAATACATGAATTATTCAACTAAATAATAACTGTAATGTGTAAATAATAACATAAATTTTTGTTTATGTATGATTTTAATGAATAAATTATTGTATAAAAACAATAAATATTTCAATATGAAAAACATGTCAAAAACATTTTTTTTTTTACAAAAATAATGACTATACATACACATAGTTATGGGAAAAATTCCCATACAAATGTACATAACATTTCTTTACAAGAGTATTATAATAAAATAAAAAGTTAGCAATTTTCCTCAACTCATATAAAACAAGAACGGTTTCAGAAAAGTTGGGAAAATGACAAAGAATTTATGTGAGCAACCATTAATCAAATATTGCATCACCACAAATCCGGATGTTCTTTTCATCAATCGAGATTTCTCTAAAATTACCAATGAACATCTTCTTGTTTGTTCGTAACCTACATTTTTTTCCCACAAAGTACGGTTTTTATTTATAATTTACTTAAAATTTCCAATAATTCTTCCAACATTTAATCAAGTATAAAGACAAATACAGGAAAGGTTAAAATGAATAAGATTTTTAATAATCTGTTTATTTTTCAGAGTTTGTAATAAACTGTAAACTCAGTTGAGTAAGTATAAGAATAAAAATATGGGTATAAATGTAGTCAAGCAATATATTCAAAAAGGTTAGGAGCAGAAGCATAGCTTCCCCTTCAGAAAATTTAATTATTCTCTCTTTTTCTTTAAAAGTATGATAAAGAAAATTCAATAAAATAGGACATGTTTTACTGTATTATTAAGATTTTTTTACTTCAATAAAAAAAATAGTATAGGTATTCGAAAGATAACATTTCAAGCATAGGTTGTTAGAATCTTACCATTCAAACTATCACTTTCCTGTGAAAACTGTAAGAAGCCCGAAGCAATACTACTATATAGATTTGAGTGAAGGTAACAATTAGTTTGCTACATATAATTTTGTATCCCTTTAGATATTCATAGACCTAAATCACTTAAGGTCTATGACAGCTGTCTATGAGTTATCTTAGTTAGGGGAAAAATACAACTTGATGCTCAGGCAAATTAAAAAGTAAGTAATTGCACTTCCAACACCAAATCTGCGAGAATATGAGCAACGCATGCGCAAAAGTATGTAACCAACACCAAAAGTTTTCTATACCAGCGACCCAAGACACTTATTCCCAGTGTACAATTCTGGTTCATAAAAGAACTCCTTCATGGTGCAATAAAATTATGCTGGCTTAGAACCCGTAAATATTGTACAAATATGTACCATTTTGACAATATTAAAACGGTAATTTCAAATAAAGATGGACATACTTCAAAATGCAAATACTAATAACGAATAACCTCAAAATAGAAAATGTAATTGCTGGAAAGCTCCATATCTAATCAATGCATATACAATGTATCACATTCTATATCATTCTTGTTATTATTAAATCAAAGTAACATTCAAACAAGCATTAAATGCATTATTATACTAGTGTACTTTGCTTTTATTTTATAGTACTATTTACGGCTGAAATCAACATGGAATTGATAATGTTGAACATAAAATCGGTTATATTCAAACAAGCAATAACTACATTATTTTAGGTAAGTTAATTGTATTTCGCTCTGGAGTATTATGGCTAAAATTGAAATATTGATCATAATGAACTTAAATTTCATATGAGATCATTTTTAAATATCATAAATCGATCAGGCACACAAAGTTGTTTACACAGTCTATACATATGAGTATGTAAACGTCACTGACAACAACAACAAAAAAATTACGAATCAATCTTAAAGTACACATACAAGTAAAAAATCATCTTCTTATGGACAAAACCATTCACCAGTGGCTAGGGCATTATGCATTTGAAAAACTGGGAGTTCTGAAATGCGATTTAAAAATCGAGTATAAAACAAAACATTGAAAAAAATGACTAAATGACAAATACAAATGATGCAAAATAATTAGAATAGAACAGAATCAACATGAACACATTACTCACAATCATAAAGGAGACACACATATCACAGAATAGTTTGGTAACCTGTAGAATTATTTCTCCTGTATTACAGATATGTATCGTCTATGTGGTGTAGTCCCTTTCGTTAACAGAAAGTTCCGTCTGATAAATGACAACAAGGAACCCCATATTGACATCGAGTTCCATAACCATTTTCAAACAGAAAAAATCAAATTTTTGATAATGCATGTTCTTTGTATTTTTTTCTTTACACAGAAGTATTGAATGGAATGTTGAAGACAATAACAATAGCAGCGAGGAATCTACGTTGATAAATAAATCTACTTCATTCCTCGCGTTACCTCTTTGGCTTTGGTTTAATGGGATATTTAGCTATATATTGATTCCATGTAGCCATCATGGACTCGGGAGAAGGAATGCGATGAAAGGCCACAACCGTTGCAAAATTCATAGACATGGCTGCCTTCGTGTCCTTGCCGGGGTTCATGATAACCATCCCACCATGATTACGTGGGGATAATTTGAGCTTTCTAGCTATAATTCCTAAATAGGAATCGTCAATTGAAATTGTTTTCACATAAGGAAAGGCAGCGGCAAACGCTCTAGTCACATCCCAAGACATCAGAATGCCACCGCCAGCTAAATATGGCGGATATTTATCAAACGGATAGTCTTCCCACGAAACGAACCATTTGGAACCGTTGTCTCTAAATGGCGTAGATCGTGGTAGTAACTTTCCCAACATAAGTCGAGGTTCTTTGTCTTTATTCTGACGGTAGCTGTCCAGGTTCTTAACAATAACAAACACATCGTCATCAACAAAAAGGTTAAAGTTTGCGTTTGGACAATGCCGCACTACCCAGTTGTAACCCATGATTGTTTTCAATGTATTATTAGAATACTGATCGATAAAGTTTTCTTGTACTATATCCTTGTATTTTTGAGCTTCTTGGGCGATTTCTTTATCAAATTTTGCCATTTTTCCCAGCAGAAAGACTACAGACACGCCATTGTAAAGGGACTGATTTCCCCAAGTCTGTCGGATGATTTCGCGATTTTTAAAATTATCTGCTTTAGATTTCACAAGAACAACCATATGCAAATTTTCAAACTGACAAGCATTTTCAGCTTCATGTACAAACTGAAAAGGATGAGGATTAATTTGTTTGTTTTTGATTTTCTTTCCTTCAAAAATATTTTTTGTAAGTTGAACAAGATCTATCTCTAATGGATACTTTCTCGAATCAAAATTAAGTTTCTTTTTCCTAATATCTGTAGTGTCAAGGGGAGGTCCGACTTCCATGTAAACCCCATTCTCCGCATAGGTATCACTCGGATCAAAATATGGATAACGTCTTTTAATGTTCTGGTTTACTACAGGTGATTTCTTCTGCGTTGCTACAACTTTTGAGGTGGACAGTGCGAACTGAGAACGTGCTATTTGGACCACAGTGGACGATGGGGAATATTTGTTATAGGCTTGAACAAGAGCCTCGGAGTAGTTGTAATACACCCAGTTCATCATATTCAGCACGGACAGACACAGAGCGACGATAATGAGAAAGTTCCGTAGCGAGTTCCCCAACAGTATCCTCCTGCATCTGAATTTTTTCATCGTGCGTCTTTTCAATTTCTCTAACATGTGAATTGATTCTAAATAAAAAAAAGACAATATATTAAAATAAAATTTCACACATTAATCACAGCCTTTGTTAAAAGTTTGTGTTTACTATAGCACTTTTTAAAGAAGGTGTCGTTTTTAAAGAATGGACACATGCATATACGACACCATCCACCAGCCTCGTCAATAGGGGGAAAGTGTAAAATTTTTAACTACAGTGAACAAAATGAAAAAAAAAAAATTAGGAAGATAAATTTGTCAGCATGTTGGTTTATATCATTTACTTATTCAAAAGCTGAAAAAAGCGAATTTCATATATCCTGCCAAAATCAAGAGCATATTTTACCACTCTAGTAAATACATGTAATCCTGAACTCGGATGTGATATGGATGTACATGTATATTTGCAAGGGTAGAGCTCGGAAGTCAACCGAAACCAAGCATGTACATAACCGGGGGCGACAATACTAAGTACATGTATGTGCATTTTTGCTCACGAGATATCATTGCAAATGCAAAAATAAAAAAAAAATAAATAAAAATTCTACCTGAACGTTAATTCCAGGTTTGAAGCATTTTAATTTAAAAAAAAATCTATTTTAATTTGAACATATATAACACTTAAACAGAGAGGGCTATCGATTCTCTCTTAGCTCTTGCTGTTACTCTTGCAAAATAAGAGAATATTGTAATACAATGGGCGTATCGAGATATTATCTGACACGTTTCATGAATAAAACATCTGAAAATCTAAAAGCCCTTTTCTATTCTGTTACATAATATCAGTCATTTCAAGATTACACCTCCCCTCTTGTCTTTTATAGAAATAACTGTGTAGCTACCTAGGGTGAATTTTCATCGATCGTTTTTCATAGGTATACTATTCAACTAAGAAACAATGCAAGAACTGTTTTTCTGACTGTTGTCATCTTTCAGATGTAGAGTAGGGGAGCTGGTGATATTATGGTACGACAGGTGCGACACAAAATAATGAATCCACGAAGTATCCTTATCCCATCATAAAACAGTAAAGGTGTCAGAGTTTAGAAACCTCTTTATTTACACGGTGTATGTTTAGTGCTTGTGTTTACATAAATAATCAGGAAGTTGTTTCAAATGCATATAAGGGCTTACAATGTTTTACCACTATATTGCTTGTTTGTAAGCAGGGTGTCCAACAGAAGAGAGAGAGAGAGAGAGAGAGAGAGAGAGAGAGAGAGAGAAATTCCACCTGAGTTGTAAAACACACATACACACAAAAATAACCTTTCACCTTAATTTCAAATAATGATCAACATTGAATTACATTCCTAATGATATACATGTATAAACAGTATATCCCTACCTTCGTGTGTGAGAGCAAGTGTATGCAAGGAGGGGGGATATCATTATGACATTGTGAAATTTGATCAGGACCCCCCCCCCCTTTTAAGAGTCTTCAAAGGGTCTTAATTATTATAATAGATATTAACATGTAAGTATACGTGGTATACTAGTAGGATGTAAATAAGTGAAATACCTCAAGGTTATACTATCTGAATTAACATCTATATAATAATAATATAAAACATCATGCTTTACCTGGTTTTGAGATTCATGTACATTTCTCCATTTAGTCACCATATACCCACTGGACATGATTTATAATCCACTCTTTCATGAAATCTTCAACAACAGTAAAGAGTTCAGTCAAGACGGTCTGGAAATTAAAATCCCACAAGTTTTACGGTCAACTATTGAATATTTCTCAAGCGTGACAATTGTTATACTACACCGTACATACCCGGCTTTCAAAGCTGCAATTTAGATTCAGTTCCGGTGACTGTGTAAGCATTTTTACAACGCTATTTGATCTGCAGGTACTATACAGTGTATACACGTCAATTCTGATCAAAGCGGACATGGGACGCATGAAAGAACGGTTTCACGAGATCTTCATTTGTCGTTTGCCTTCACATTTCTTTACTTTCATATTCCATATTCCCCTCTGAACTCATAGTTACTCGACAGAAATGCTGGTTATTGCAAAATTTATAAATGGGTGCTATAAATGGTTGGCCGCTGCCGTGCAAGTTAACTGTCATCCCCCACACTTCATACTAATGCCATATAGCGGTATTTTCCGGTTCATTGCCTCGCTGAATCAGTTAAAATGGAAGGAAATCATAGATTGTCCCATGCAGAGTTATAATAGCGAAAAATCGATACCGTGAAAATAGATACTTTAATGATGGTCCAACAATTCATATCTATGGTGACAGAATCAGGCATTTCAAATCGATCTGCAATCCCTTTTATAATACATACATGTATTTACTTGTACATACATTGTGACTACTCCTAAGATTCTAGGAAGGCATCTACTACACAAAAATTTATTTAGCTAAATCTGTTTATCACTTTATATATACTTGTACAAAATGAATGATAATGTCTCAACTATAGAAAATTATTCCAAATGACACCATGACCTGATTACTTTTTTTTTTTATTTTTGTTAATTTTTTTATTCGCTTCATTCATTAATATTGATAGGCTGGAGTATAGGAGCTGAAGGCAAAGACAAATATTTATTACCAAGGGATTAAAAATTAAGAACGAGGCATTTAGCTCCTACATGTTAATGTGTGCTACTGTAAAAATCGATCGATACACATGAATATTAATTAATAGAACTACAGGTACACCAAGAAATTAATAGATAAATTATTTGAAGCCTGCTGTTCAGTGTGTTGCATTACTCGCCTATACCATTGTTAATGTAAAGTGGACACTCTTTAAATTATAGATTTAATTGTGACTTAGTTTTGCATAACAATACTTGTAAGGATTTCCTGTGATGGTTAACAATATTCCCAGGAAACATATGTAGACCTGATAATGAATGTATATCTATCTATCTATGTATAATCTGTATGAAGTGTTCCCCCTGAAACAGTGACTGAATGGATTAAGTGATTTTCATATCTTTAGTAGATTCTTTTTGAGTGGCTAAAAAAGGTCCAGTTGCGATATAGTCTTTCTACAGCTTGGACACACATCTTGTTGAGGGACATGGATCTTAATTTCTTTTACATACGGAACAATTTCGCTTTTTAAAGTATAAAATCATCCACAAAAGTGTTTGTCGATTCAGCAAATACCAAATAAGGTGCGACATTCAGAGCCAATATACATTAAATTCAAATAAGAAAATTCCTAAAATCAAACACACTTCTTGGAATATAAAAAAATAGATAATATTTTATTCTATTTTATTATAGTTTTAAACCAGTTAACCCCCACCCAATGTGTTTGTGAAACACTGGTGTAACCGTATGGCATCCTATGGCATGTGTTGAACTTTCTCAAATGCATGTCAAACTCCAAAGGTCAAGGTAATATGTTGGTATTCAAAGGAAGGTCTTGTCACAAAGAATACACCTGTGAAATATGGAAGCCCTAGCTCTCAGGTAAGCTTGGACTTTCAGTAAAGCGTGACTTTCTCGGCGCAACGTTACCAGGGCAAAAACTCTTTATGCCCTCGAATCTTCGATTATTGGGGCAAGGGAGAGAGAGAGAGAGAGAGAGAGAGAGAGAGAGAGAGAGAGAGAGAGATGCTTTTCAAGATTAAAAAAAAAAACTATACTGTATAAGGCCATAAAATAAAGTTCGTTTCCCTCTCCCGAATCATAAGAAGAATAAAAAAACAAAAAACAAACAAACCAAAAATACCGTGGCCTGGAACTTAGAATAATTATAATCGGACCAAATTTAGTCAGCTGCACGGTCGGGAGAGGGCAACCAAAGAATTTTTGAAAGATGGCCTAATATTAATTATGAATTTTCTGCTTTCTTTATAAATATATCATACGTCCTTTACCCATAATGTAAACGTATAGATATTAAAACAAATCTGTTAATAATCTATTACTAAGCAGATTTTACACAAGATAAAGTTTTGCTTTCTCGTTTCTTTATATAGTGGAGAGATACGGATATTTAGTTTGACATCTTATAAAATATACATAGAAAAATCTTAAAAAAGAAAAATTAGGTAAGTCTCTGATAATTTACATGCTTTGTTTCATGTATAATTTTATGTTTATTCTCTGTTTGTAATTTGAGCAATTAAGCTGTGACAGGGTTAATATCGTTTCATATTGACCCGTCAGAGACACGTACTGGGCCTCTTCTTTGTAAGTAGAAGATTTAGAGGACCGAACATGGTTAATTGATATTATAGTATATTGAAAACGTGGTTAAATTTTATTGAGTTTATTGAATTTCAGTAATACGCGAAACACTTAAATATTTACTTTAATCAAAGGAAGAGTGGAGTTTAACCATAGTATATATATATATATATATATATATATATATATATATATATATATATATATATATATATATATATATATATATATATATATATATATATATATATATATATATATATATATATTTATATCTATTGAAAAGTCTTGTTATAGTGAATACATATGTGAAGTTTGAAAAAAGTACCAACTATTTTAAAAGTTAAGGCCAAAATAAGTTCGGAAATTTTTAGTCGAAAACCTCAAATTTGGTGTAACCTGAAGAAAGGTCTTGTCACAAGGAATACACATGTGAAATATAATTTATGATGATTACGGGGGAATAAAAATCCAAGAGGAAAATTGGCAGCTGGAAAGGCCGGTGCTTTATATCGATATATGTTAATCTTTCCATAATTACACATCATAGGCGTCTTTGTTGCAAAGATAGACAAAATAAAGGCATTGAAAATTGGAAATTGGGGGTTACCATTTTTTGGTGGTCTTGCCCCCCCCCCCCCCCCCCCCCCCCCCCCACACACACACACACACACACTTTCAATTTGCTTCCGACGCCTATGCATATAAAATCTCACATACACATCTAACACAAAATCTTCTTCCACATGATATTCCACTACGTGTACCAATTATGTATACAAAAATTATATTAATCAACGTTATTGTTTATTCTATCATTTCATTGGCATGCAAATATTTTGATCCGCACCTGAAATATTTCATCAATGTGTACAAGACGCTTTCTTGATGTATCCGATTTCATCAAACGCAAATAGGACCACAGCGATGTCACACGTGGAACGTTATCAACATCGTTTTCAGCATCTCCACAATGAATCTGCTGCTAATTTTGGTTTTTATTGTCGGTGCGTCATCAGACAGCTTTTACAGTTATAGCGTAAAACAGGGAGACAAAGAAACAGACCTGAGTCAATATGCAGGAAAGGTAAAATGAGAGTTCTGCTTGATTTATAGAAAACTGAGTGCATTAAAATTGCTAGCCCCTATCTGCTCATTGATTGTATTCAGTCAGTGTACTGCTTATAAATAATCAAGGATTGTTTGTTCAAATGTAAACACGATTCTTCGATTTCATTTGCTTAATTATCAATATCTTTGATAAGTAAAGCGAGGAAGAGCAAACATTTATAATTAATGATATATTCTAAAATGATAAATGAATCCATTTTTCAACTTTGAGAATCCCCAGATCTTTCTGTTTTTTTTTTCTAGGTGGTGCTTGTGGTGAATGTGGCGTCCGAATGTGGCTACACCGATGGTCATTACAGGTCTCTGGTCAGACTCCAGGACAAGTTAGGTTCCAGTGATAAATTCTCTGTCCTAGCCTTTCCATGTAATCAGTTTGGTAAACAGGAGCCTGGGGTATAATTAAACTCTAATAACTTGTTAATTTTGAAGATTTCATTTGAATCATTGATTTACAAAAATAATAAATTATTTGGAAATTATTTAAAAATAAAGCATATTCTTATGATTTTCCAGAGTTATAAAGAAATCCTGTCTTTTGCAAAGAAAAATTACAAAGTCAACTTTCCAGTATTTTCCAAAATTAATGTGACAGGTGATGATGTTCCAGAAGCTTGGAAATATTTAATTCGTAAGTAACATCCTTAATCTAAAAATCAAATTCTTAAATAACATTCCTAACCTAAATAGTACATTGTAAATATCTACAGTAACCAGTTAGTAACGTCCTTTATGTGTGACATTCCTAATCTAGATATCTACAATTTAAGTAAGTAATATCCTTCATTTAGATATTTATAGTAACAAGTAAGTAACATCCCTAATCTAGATATCTACAATACTGAGTAAAAAAAATCCCTTAAATTCAGATATCTATGGTATTGAGTAAGTAAAATCCCTGATTTAGATATCTAAGGTATCGAGTAAGTAACATCCCTAATTTAGATATCTAAGGTATCGAGTAAGTAACATCCCTTAAATTCAGATATCTATGGTATTGAGTAAGTAACATCCCTGATTTATATATCTTAGTACAGTAACAATTAAGTAAGTAACATCACTACAGTAGCTTAAATTATAAGTAATATCCCTAATCAAAATATCTATCTTGTAACATCCCTATAAATTTAAAAATAAAGAAATGTAACAGATCTTAATTTAACAGATATAAAGACTTTAAAAGAAAGACCTCTGATTTTATAATGGACTCGGTGCTCTTGTCAAATCAGGTTTGTTCTGTGTGAGTTGTTGTTATGCATCTTTTATTATGTTTTGTTTTCATGCATCAAATATTCATAATGAAATCTAGAAAAAAATGCACATATTGTCACTGCCAAGATTGTTAAGAATATAATTAATCAAACAATCATTGTGCACACACTTTATCAGTATGGAGTATTTATAAACAATGTTAGTTTGTTAACCACCTCTAAACCTTTCTCTGTACAGAAAACTCTGAAGAGCCAACATGGAATTTCTGGAAATACCTGGTAGATGAGAAAGGGCATGTGGTTCGAGCCTGGGGCCCTTGGATATCAGTAGAAGATATCACACAGGATATCATAGATGTCATTGATGGAAACTATTCTGTTAATGCCCAGAAGAGGGGGGAGCTGTGAACAGGATCTTGCTAGTCAATGTTTGATAAAGTACTTAACAATAAGTGTTTACATTTCCCCCTTTACTGTAAGTGTTGACATTTCCCCCAGAAGCAATATCCAAATCAATAATATTTATTTTCATTGATTATTGCAAAGCAAGCTTGAACTAAAATGTTTATTTTGTAGTTTTTTTATTCAAAAAATAAGTTTAAAAATTCAAATATATTCATTGGCCTATCCATGCACATCTGAGGAAAAATATATAAACAAATTAAAGCTAGTGGATGGCCATGGGTGCACAAGGAAATAAAAAAGAATCAAAGGTTTTTTTAAGGCTCCTAAATGTAAATTTTATTTATTTTTCGTTTGCAACACACCGTTAGTGTCGAATAAGAAGGGAAACAATATTCTTTGTCTATTGTGAAATGTTAAAATATAAAAAAAAAAACATTGTGAAATATAAGACTATTAGTTAATTAAATCAATGAAGTTAATTTTTCTCTCCAAACATGAAAGAACAAAATACATGTATTTGAAGTGTACAACATTCAAAGATTGCTTATCATATCTACATCTTTGTTAAATCCTCCCTAATTGAAAAGTATCAGATAGAAACACAGTTTAAGGGAGATAACTCTAACATGGATTTAACCAACAAAAAAAATTGTCACAAATCATGTTAAATTACAAAATACCATTTATGAATCACAGTATTAAATTAAGGGATTGTATGTACATGTACTTCCCAACTTGTGAATGTTTTTTATTTATTTATTTTTGGATGACTGTTCATTTACATCATTATGATTGATGCAAATCATCATACATATGCATTTTCATCCCATAGAATCAAATTACTTTTATTAGACATGTATGTTAAACACAAGCTTGCAATCATACAATAAGATGGTGTGATTTTTTGGGGAAGAATATGTATAATTAAATTCATTTATTTCATATTATAATTTTTTGATGCATTTGAGTTTGGAACAAAGAAATGTTTGAGTCAAACTAGTAATCTGAGTGTATATTAAGTCTTGAAGGGAAAGGAAGTACTAGTATTGCCAAAAAAAGTCTGGATAACATTGACTGTTCCTTGTAATAAATCAGTTGTTCTGAAGTAAGAGTATGTTTTTTCCTTGAACATCTAAAGTCGTGAGCGACTGCGTAGTTGATATAAATATATATTAATTTATATCATGTTTTTCCAGGTTTAAATGAAAAAAATCTTCTATTCTGAAGATCTGGAACAATATGCTAGTCTGATGGTCAGTTTAATCAAATTATGCGATCAGTGGCTGAAGTGTTTATGAGCCATAGATACAAAACTGATTATAACTTCTACAGGGTCAGTTAGCTTAAAACTAGAGGTACTGTGAATATTGAGCTCACAAAATTATATTTCTGCTTTCATATGAGTACAACTTTAGAGTCGTTTTTTTTTTTTGCGACGAGGAAGCCCAATATATCCTATCAGAAGATTTAAGGTACACAATGGGAGTATGCAAAAAAGATTGTAAAAGTCTCATTAAAATATATAAAGTGGTATAGCACGCATTCTCAATTTATAGTGCCAAATCGACTTTGGGAAAAGTCAAAAAAATTTGTGAACTGAAACTAACACTTTTATATATCATTTGAAACAAGATGGTTTATAGTTATTAAAAATCACAATTTGATTTACATACTTCATGCTTTGTTTTGTTGACCTCCTTCGAAATGAATGCGGTTGGAGGGCTAATTTTAACAGGCATCATTTTCATTTAAATGAAATTAGTTTCTTTTTATTTTAAAAAGTTTTTATCAAATCTGACGATAAGCTTAATAATCAATATTCCCTAAAATGCTTCATTATTTGATTCTTTATTAATCTGTTCAGAGAAAAGCACATTATCTAAAATATCAGAAGGTAAAAATATTTCGCCATTACATGATTACGAAGTGTTTGTTAAATATCACGTAAATATCGCACATAGATATCATACAAAAATAAAAGTATATTCGTGGAAAAGTGAATGTATTATTACAAATTATTGAATTTTATGAATTTTCTTATCTGTGTTCTTGACAAAGGGTTGCACTGAAAATTCAAGTTATGACTTATCTATAGAGGATTCATTTATTTTATGACAACCCCCTCCCCCTTCCACCATTTAATCTGTTGATTATTTCAAATGCTTAATTGCTTGTGAAAACTTTATCTTCAAATCACAAAAAAACCAAAGTTATCCCCACCACCCTTTAAAAAGTTTGTTAATTATTACAGTTCCATATTACATGTGCTCTATAGAGCAATATATGTACATTCTACATTAATGTAACGTAAATTGAATTTTCAGTACTATTATAAACATAGACGCAAACGTTCTAAGTTCTATGTCTTAGCAGCAATTTAAATGGGAAAAATGAGGTGCACAATTTAATACATGTATTTCTTGCAAAGCAACCAAAATGGAAATGGCTATTCAATTTCGACCATTTTCGAATGACACCCAACACCCATAGCCGTCTTTTTTCTTTAACCCGTTGTGGAAGACAGCCCCCCCCCCCCCCCCCCCCCTTACATGCAGCGCAGCGCTCATTTTCTGGAATTATATTTTCTACGAAAAATAATATATTCTTCAAAATGTTTTGCTTGGTATACAATTTAGGTGTATATAACGATTATTTAAGTTGACGATGCACTATCAGTTCAAACAAACAGCAAAATACAAACTTTTAAGTAAGTTTTGTTTCAGATTTACGTTCCGAATGAAAACGTGCATTACACTATATGCAATATTAACCAATTGCTCAAAATGTAAACATTCAATCATTAAACCACAATTCTTCTTGTTAATGATATTATGTCAATTCAATTTTCAAATCACACGGAAGCACAAGATAATGTGTTAAATATGTTCACCTTTGCATGTGCCCTTCCATTTGCATTTTTGCACTCTTGTTACAGAAAAAAATGTCATTTTAAGAAACAGTTTATTTCTTCATGTTTTTAGGTTTTAAATCATTAAGATTAACAAATCTGTTCAAACAGCTTTAGAATTTAATTCTAATTTACTTTAAAACATGGTAACGTAAATATCGGTACGTTATAGATTTATCGTAACTTTTGATGCTGTTGTTTAATTACTCCACTGCTAATTAAAGACATATTCTAGTGCTTGAGTGTAAGGCAATTTGACCTATAGGAAACAATGTAGTTCTTTTACTTAATTTGTGAATAAAGACTAACACGTAAATATCGATGAATTTTTTAACCATTGGACTCGTAAGAAAAGGGGGGCTATTTTTTATAAATACAGATAAACAGTGTCTTTTTTACCATTCCATGCAATGGAACAGGTGTTCATGATGTTAAAAAGTTACAACTTAATCTTATTGAGTCAGTTCAGCAGTCCTTCCAAATTTCCAAATAGAAAAGTAATAATTTTGCGGTGACATCAAAATTTGATAAATATATTAAATTTTTTAAAAATCTATGCCACGCATATGTGTGAAGGGTGTGATATTCAGAAAATATAACTCAAATGTAGGACAATCCTACTAAGAAAAAGATGTGTAAGTGATTTAAAACTTCTTTTCGGTTTAAAATAAAAACTACACTATGATCGGCGACAGTAACGTAAATATCGATTTCTGCTATAAAATGCGATTTTCGCCCAAGACAATCATTCAAGTTACAACAAACAATTGTTGTATTTTAATCAACAACCAACAATGGTTCATATATGACTGGCAGAAAATAATTTTTTTTAGAAATATTATATTACTTAAAACCACGGTACATTATTTAAAGCGAATTGAGACTATAATTTGAGAATCAGGGATAGGAGGAGTTGCATAAGAAATGAGTGTCCCGATATTATACAAAGTACGATGACACTGTCTATCATCCCAAATATAAGTCCATTCAAAACGTAAAGTTAGGATGTCCACAATGACAATATGGATTTTGTGAAACTTTGATTAAATTATTATGAGTGGTAAAGGAGGTCATTATAAAACAGCTGTTTGATTATAGTTCTTAAAATGATTTAATGGTTTACGACGAGTAGTGAATAAGGATTGGCCACACCCAAGCATTCAAGACGGACATCACCATACATATGTACCCTTAATTTTTAAGTAAGAGATGAGAGTATGAAATATATAGATATAACAAACAGTATTCAAGCTCAAAAGTCCATTAAACAATACAAATTTGGAGCAGAGCAACCACGAACCTCCTAAAATCAGAGGAAGGAACAGGTGCCATGGAGGAGTAAGCATCCCCTGCCAACCGGTCACACCCGCCGCGTGTTCCCTGTCGTGAGCGGGAAATAATGGCCGACCAATTAGTATGAAAAATGCTACTCAACGTTTGACTTAATAATAAATTGTATTTGCTGACAAGGTCATTGTATCGACTATTGAACTTACGAAATACGAACTTACAAAATGATGACGTTAAAGGAGACTGCTGATTTTCTTGTTTCAGCAAGTTTTTTGTCAATAAAGTACCTCGTTTTAAAAATATTTCACACGTAGAGCATGCTCTTGCATATCAAATCAACTGACAGAGATATAAACCCTGTGTACAGGTGATGAAGGTATATTGCTGCATAAGTAAGGGTACTCTGAGTATTTGATTGAAAAGTTAGTCAGCTCGCTTGTCATGAAACTTGGTTGTTCGATTACCTTAAATTAACGTCTTTTTCAAGTATAAGATATGAATATGAAACAGATGTGTCAGACTCTGTGGTATCTTTTATTTCAAG